AGAGTTCTAAAATTCTTTTAAACCTCATACTACACGAGTTCAGGCACGTGCACTCATGTGCGTGTGCACACATGAAATCTTTATATTTTCCATGTATGGCACTTTCTTCCTGAGCTTTGCCAGATTTAAAAGAGAGCTCTTTTAACTTGGAAAATGGGGGTGGGTTTCTGTTTTAGATATGGAAAAGTAAGAAAGAATACTTTATTTCCCACAGACCCTCTTTTCAGCCGTGTTTTTACATTAAAATTATCTGAGAAAAAAATAAATACCAATTCATGGGCTTCATCTTTTTTGTTTTTTTTCAACATTTATTTATTTTTGGGACAGAGAGAGACAGAGCATGAACAGGGGAGGGGCAGAGAGAGAGGGAGACACAGAATCGGAAACAGGCTCCAGGCTCTGAGCCATCAGCCCAGAGCCCGATGCGGGGCTCGAACTCACAGACCGCGAGATCGTGACCTGGCTGAAGTCGGACGCTTAACCGACTGCGCCACCCAGGCGCCCCTCATGGGCTTCATCTTAATCCAATTGAATTATAATCTTATGAAGTGTAGCCAGGCACTAGTACTTTTTTAATATCACAATTCCTGTTTAATAAATTCCTATTATTAATGGACTCTGCACTTGCTATCATAACTTGCTATCATATTGCCTCATCTATAAATTTTTAAAGTTTGCACACTTTCTCAAAGATAAAGAATATCTTGAGGCATTTATTCTAACCATTATATTTCTTATAATTTTCTTGGAAAAGTGTGGTGGCAAACAAATGTTCCTTGAAATGATATTCAAAATCCTTTTGTGGTTATATTAAACTTGCAATGAGAAAGAAGTCTGGAATGCTGCAAGTTATTTATACAAAGAAAAGAAAGAGGTTACATGTTTTCTGTCTTGTTTAAGTAATTGGCTTACCCACCCTGTACACCTACTTGTATTGCCAAGGTCAAATTTGAGAAAAGATATTCTTTTAGGTTACCTACTAATTTCCATGCATCCATGCACTCTTTTTTTAAATTTTTTGAATGAATAATCACACTCTCTAAAACTGCATTTGGATTTTAGGAAGATAAGAATGATAAATCATAAAGCAATGAAGTACCCAGAAGAAACACTAGGCTTAAAAGTTTTATATTGTCTTTTTTTTTTTTTTAAGTCAATAATAAGCTACCAAGGGAGAGAATATGAAGGTGTGGAAACACTGTAAAATTTAGAGGAAGATAGACCTGAGTTTGAATCTCATGTTTTTCATTCACAACCCATAGCCACTGCCTTGGCAAGTCTGAATCAGACCACTCCTCGCCATTTCCACAGCTACAGCCCTCAGTTGAGGTAGTAGCATCAACCACCTGGCCCTCTCCCACCAGAGTGGAAGTTCTTTCCTATCTTGTCCTTCAAGAACCTTCCCTACACAGTAGTCAAAGTAATACTTTTTGTTATTGTTCTTGTTTTCAGCTTTATTGAGGGACAATTGACACATAGGACTTGTATATATTTAAGGAGTACAACTTGGTGATTTGATATATTGTACACATTGTTAAATGATCACCACAATCAAGCTAATTAACATATCCATCTTCCCAAATAATTGCTCCTTCCTTCCTTCCTTCCTCCCCTCTACCTCTCACCCTCCCCCTCCCTCCTTCCCTCCCTCTCTTTTACTCTCTCTCTCTCTCTCCTCTTCTTGTGGTGAGAACACTTAAGATCTACCCATTGGGCAAATTCCAAATATGTAAATCACTATTGTTAACTATAGTCACCATGCTGAACATTAGATCTTCAGAATTTATTCATCTTGCATAATTGAAAATTTGTACTCTTTGATGCTTCTCCTCATTACTCCCCTCCCACCCTCCACAGTCCCCAGTAACCAGCATTCTACACTCTGCTGCTATGAATTTGACTGTGTTAGATTCCATATATGAGTGAAATAGTACAGTGGTTGTCTTTCTGTCTCTGGCTTATTTCACTTAGCATAATGTCCTACAGATTCATCCCTGTGGCTGTGAATTAAAGGATTTCTTTTTTTTTTTTTTTAAGGCTGAAATCTTTTTAAAGCATAAGTCTGACTGCTTTAAACCCTCCACTTGCTTCTTGTTGTAATTAGAATAAATTCCACATTCTTTATTCTGGCTCTAAATTTCTAATCTCATCTTCTACCCTCTTCCCCTTGCTATATACACTTCAATTACACAACTGTCTCTGGAATAGGCTAAGCTTATTCTTATGGTCTTACACAGATAATTCTAGAGCAAAATAGAGATGAGAGCAAGTGCTTATCTCATGCCCTCATCAGGCAAATGCCATATTTAATATTTTCCAAATCTGTTACCTCATCTGTGAAACTGGTTTTTTCAATGAAATCATGGGAAAATCATTGCCAGTGTCTAGAAATTATTGAGCTATACAAGCTAAGAGAGTGGAGCTATTCATTTTAGGCATTGAAAGATTATTAATTGATAGCCAAAGATAAGGTGATTGCATTCTTCATCACAACCAAGATTATAACCACTACTTAAGCAAATACAATATGCCAGACACCATATTGAATACTGTAGATTATAAAAAGTGGATGAGGATAAAAGAGGCTTTGGTCTTAATTGCTTAAAATCTGGAAGAGAGGATAAGGCAAGCACAATGATAATGCCACTACTAGGAGAATATGTGTCATAAGAGTCAGACACAGGGGTTTTACAAATGAGGGTGTAATAGGTCTGAACCTCACTGTAAGCAATGGTGATTTAACAGTTTATATATCTGTTCCCCAATCTGTTTGAACTGCTTCTCCATAACTGAATTGAAATTGAAATATAAGACTAGTTAAGTATGGGGGTCAAGGAATTAATAAGGGATTGGCATTTGAAATGGACCTGGAAAATGGGGGACATAATGGAATATGTTTTTGTTATCTCTTTTTTAATTCAGTCATGACTTTCACCAAGACAATACAGTGAGCTTTGTGATTTTGTAGAAGTGTACTTGTTGAATGTTACTGGTCTAGTGATAGTCTTCCGAGGGAAATAGGACTCCCATCTCTGGAATGAGAAGGATCTTGGACAAGTAAATTGATCTCAGATTTTCTTCCCTAGTTTGTAAAATGTCCAATTTATGTGATTGTTGTAAATCTTGGACTAATATGAAATCTCTGACATATAGGTGCTTAATTAATGCTACCTGTCATTTTTACTTTTAATAACCGGAGAAACTGTATATTATAGAAAGTCAGCAAAATTGTGGATGGTTAAAGTGTATACTCTGTATTGACAAGATGGCCTTTGAATTCTGGCTGTGCCCCCTCATTTGCTTTGTGATCTCGAGTAAGTAACTTAACATTGCTTTGCCTCATTTCTTTAATCTGTGAAGTGGGGGTTATAATATATCCTACCTCAGAGGGCTGTTGTAGGGGTATTGCACCACATAACTCATATAAAATGCCTGCTGTCCTCAATAAATATGTAATATTTTATAATAATAATAATATATTTAATATGGAGTTGTTAATCTGATGATCTATGGTATATGATGTCAACACATGCTGGGTGAATTACTTTTTGATGAACAGATTATTCTCAAATAAAAAATTCAGCTAATCAGACATATAGGCCCAGAGTGCTATTTTGAAGCACCTGCCATTCAGTATTCTCATTTTATTTGACCATGTTGCCAGTGCTGTTGTTGTTGTTGTTGTTGTTGTTGTAGTTTTAGTTGTTTTACTTATGCTTTTATGATTCACTATCACTGGGTTTTTAAAATATGGTAAGAGAGGTCAAATCCAGGAAGCAATGGAAGGTAGTCCCACCTCAGAAAGATGACTACAAAGGAAAAAATAATCTTGAATTCCTTTAGGGGTACTAAAGATTTAAGGATAGAATTTTTCTATTTTGAGCCAAGCAGTAATAAAGAAGTGAAGACTAGAAAGTGGAGAAATTGTTGTCCATGAGAGGAATTTCTTGCTTGACTGTTTCCTCTTAAATCTCATTATGTAAGCTGACTGATCGCTTTTCCCAAACTCGGATTCAGATCTTAAGTATAGAAGAGCAATTCTAGTGAAATACTTATATGTAAATCCTTTGGAGTAAAACATTTTTATTTCTATATGCTTATAATTATTTCCCAGCTTACTTGGAAGAGTGTATAGTTTGAAAATTCTGGAACTGAAAGTTACATTCCTTAAGTAAGCATGAAAAAAAGTATTTGGTCCACCTCAATAAGAAATGAGGTTTATTGATCCAGTTTTCTCTCAGCCAGCCTAATAATCAGAAAGACTGTCACCAGCAGAATTCTGGAAGAGGAAGATATTACTACAACAACTCTACATAACTTCCTAGTGCTGGTTTCATATCTAAATGGAACATGGCAAAGATGTACCTGTTTGCTCAACAGAGGGAAGAGCTACACTGCTCACTTTAAAGACTCAGGCTTTTTGCTTACATTTCATGCCCTAAGTTACCTCCCTGTTCTTTTCATGTATTCTGCACTCCAGCCAAACTGAATAACTATCTTGCTGCTATCCATTACTTCTGAGGATTTTTTTGTTTTTTTTTTAATTGTTTAAAGTTTATTTATTTTGAGAGAGACAGAGACAGTGCAAGTGGGGGGAGGGGCAGGGGGAGGGAGAGAGAGAAGATCCCAAGCAGGCTCTGTGCTGCTAATGCAGAGCCTGATGCAGGGCTCGAACTCACAAAACTGTGAGATAATGATGAGCCAAAACCAAGAATTGGATGCTTAATGGACTGAGCCACCCAGATACCCCATGATTTTTGAATTTGTATACACAGTCACCTCTACCTGCAGATATCACCTCCATGTTCATACACCCAAACCTAACTCCTCATCTAATCTCAGTTTAAATGTAACTTGTCCTTTGAAACCTTTCCTTTTTTCGACAAGAAATGATCCTATACTTCATAAAAGTTTCCTAGATCTTCCTCAGGACTTCTAATATGGCATTTTATTCTTCATATGTATTGTGTACATACATATACCAAATAGTTCTAGGGATACATCAGTGACTAAAACAGAAATCCTTGTAAACTTAATAAACGAGTTAAAAATGTGTGTTAGTGATTTATGCTAAAAAGAAGAATGCAGAAGAGGAGGAAAATAGGAAGTGGAAAGACAGCAATTTTATGTGGTCAGAAGAGTCCCAACAGCAAAGGAGACACGAGAGTAAAGACCTGAAGTATGATGTGCATGTAAGAGAAGAGCATTCAGGCAGAGGAAAGAGCAAGTATGAAGACTCTAGGTGGGAGTGGACCTCATGTGGGATGTCATCGGCTGGGATCAGAGTGACCAAGAGGGAAAGGAGTAGCAGATGATGTCATAGAGGTGAGAGGTGAGGAGTCATAAGGGAGCATGAGGAAGAACAGGCAGATGGTAAAGGTCTTTAGAGTGACTGACTTTTTCTCAGGGTTAGATGACCAAACCATAGAAAGGGTCTTAATCATTTCAGAAGAATGATAGAACTTGTATTTTAACAGGAGCGACAATGCAGCAGTGAGAGCATGCAGATTTTGGAAATACTCTGAAGATAGAAATTATTGAATTTATTGAAAGATTGACCACCAGGAGAAAAAGAGGAGCAAGCAGAACTCAAAGGTCTATGACTTGAATGATTGGAAAGAAGGAGCTTCCATTAGTTGAAATGGAAAAAGCTAGAAAAGAAACAGGAAACAGTGTCAGGCATTCTGCTTTGAACATGTACAGTTAAGATTACTGGCCTGTCCTGTGATTAGTTGGATATGTAAGTTGTAAGTTTGGGGGAACAGTTGGGAGCACTTGGTATCAGTGGTGCCAATTTGGGAGTTATAAACATTTACTTTTCTTTTCTTTTTTTAGATCTATTTTTATTGTTTTGAACAATCTCCATACTGTTTTCCACAGTGGTTGCACCAATTTACACTCCCATCAGCAGTGCACAAGGGTTCTCCTTTCTCCACATTCTCACTGACACTTGTTATTTCCAGTGTTTTTGAGAATAGCCATTCTAACAGGTGTGAGGTGATATCTTCTTGTGGTTTTGATTTGAATTTCCCTGATGGTTAGTGATGTTGAAAACCTTTTCATATACTGTTGGCCATTTGTATGTCTTCTTTGGAAAAATGTCTATTCAGATTTCTTGCTCATTTTTAGTTATTTGGTTTTTTGCTATTAAGTTGTATGAGTTCCTTGTGTATTTTTTATATTAACCCCTATTGAATATGGGCTTTGCAAATATTTTCTCCCGTTCCATAGGTTGCCTTTTTATTTTGTTGATGGTTTCTTTCACTGAGCAGAAACTTTTTAGTTTTATGTAGTCTCACAATTTTTGCTTCTGTTACATTTGCTTTTGGTGGCAAATCCAAAAGTTAATTACCAAAGCTAATGTAATGGAGCTTACTGCCTATCTCTTCTTCTGGGAGTTTACAGTTTCAGATTTTATATTCAAGTCTTTAACCCATTTTATGTTGATTTTTGTGTATGGTATAAAACAGGAGCCCAGTTTCATTCTTTTGTATGTTAGTGTCAAGTTTTCCCGGTACCATTTATTGAAGAGACTATTCTTTCTTCATTGTATATTATTGGCTCCTATGTTGTAAATTAATTGACTGTCTATGCATGAGTAAATCTAAGTTATTTTTTCTGTTCCATTGATCTATGTAATTTCAGTATTTATGCCAATACCATACTGTTTGATTACTATGGCTTTGTAATATAGTTTTAAATCAGAACGTGTGGTGCCTCCAGCATTATTCTTTCTCAAGGTTTCAAACAGGGTCTGTTTGGTTTTATGCAAATTTTAAGGTTCATTTTTCTATTTCTGTGGAAAATGCCAATTTTTATCGGAAATGCAATGAATCTATATATTGCTTTGAGTTCGATGGACATTTTAACAATGAATTTTTCCAATCTCCAAACATGGAGTAACTGTGTATTTATTTATTTCTTCTTCAATTTATTTTATCAATGCCTTATTATTTTCAGTGTAGACTTCCTATCTACTTATTTAAATTGATTCCTAAGTATTTCTTTGGTGCAATTGTAAATGGGATTCCTTTCTTAATTTCTCTTTCTGATAGTTCTGTCTAGTTCTGGTAGCGTACAGAAACACAACTGATTTTTGTGTGTTGATTTTGTATCCTGAAACTTTTCTTAATTCTTTTATTAGTTCTGACAATTTTTTTTGATGGAGTCTTTGGGTTTTCTATACAGATCATGTTATCTGTAAACCGAGACAGTTTTACTTCCTTAATTCCAATTTGGATGCCTTTTTCCCTGTTTTTACCTAATTTTTCAGGCAAGGGCTTCCAACACTGTGTTAAATGAAAATGGAGAATGGGCATCTATCTTTTTCCTGATATTAGAGGAAATACTTTGATCTTTTTACCATTGAGTATGATTTTGGCTGTGAGCTTGTCATATATAGCCTTTGTTTTGTTGCGGTACATCCCCTCTATATCCACTTTGTTGAGAATTTTTATCATGAATGGATGTTGAATTTCATCAGATGCCTTTCTGCATCTTTTGAGATGATCATATGATTTTTATCCTTCATTTTATGTTATGTATCACAATTATAGGTTTACATATGTTGACCTGTACTTGCATACTTAGAATAAATCCCACTTGATAATGGTATATGATGCTTTTAATGTAATGCTGAACTTGGTTTGCTAGTATTTTTTGAGGATTTTTCCATCTATATTTTTCAGAGATACTGGCCTGTTATTTTCTTTTCTTGTAGTGTCCTTGTCTGGTTTTGGTTATCAGGGTATGGCTGGCCTTCTACAATGAATTGGGATATATTCTCTCCTCTTCTAGATTTTGGAAGAGTTTGAAAGGATTGGTATTAATTGTTTTTTAAACATTTGATAGAATTTACCAATGAAGCCATCTGGCCCTAGACTTTTGTTTATTAGGAAGTTTTTGATTACTGATTCAATCTTCTAGTAATTTATTTGATAAGATTTTCTGTGTCTTAATGTTTTAGTCCTGGCAGGTTGTGTTTTTCTAGGAATTTATCTGTTTTTTCAAGGTTATCCAACTTACTGGTATATAATTGTTCAGGGTAGTTTCTCATGATCTTTAGTATTTCTTTGTAATCCATTGTAGTGTCTCTTCTTTCATTATAATTTTGAGTCTCCTCTCTTTCTTTCTTAGTCTAACTAAAGTTTGTCAATTTATTTATCTTTTCAAAAAACAAGCTCTTAGTTGTTTTTGTTTTTGTTTTTAATCTTTCCATTGTCTTTTAGCCTCCATTTCACTTATTTCTATTCTGATCTTTCTTATTTCTTTCCTTTGACTGACTCTGGGCTTATTTTGTTCTTCTTTTTCTAGTTCCTTGAGGAGTAATATTAGATTGATTATTTGAAATCTTTCTTTTTTCTTAATATGGTTGTTTTTTCCTATAAACTTCCTTCTTTTGCTCTACCCCTAAGTTTCAGTATGTTGTATTATCATTTCATTTGTTTCAAGATGTTTTTGGATTTTTCCTTTGATTTCTTCTTTGACTCATTGATTCTTCAGGAGCATTTTATTTAAGTTCCACATATTTGTGAATTTTATATTTTTCTTATAATTGATTTCTACTTCCATACTATTGTGGTTGGAAAAGATGGTTGATATGTTTTTGGTTTTCTTAAATTTATTAGGACTTGTTTTATTGCCTAACATATGAGCTATCCTGGAAAATGTTCCATGTGCTCTTGAGAAGAATGTGTATTCTGCTGTTGTTTGATGGAATGTTCTGTATATGTCTGTTAGGTCTATCTGGTCTAATGTGAAGTTTAGGCCCATCATTTCCTCACTGATTTTCTGTCTAGGTGATCTATTCTTTATTGAAACTGTGGTATTGAAATCCTTACTATTTATTGTATTGTATTATTATTGTATTCTTGCTTTAGATCTGTTATTATTTGCTTTATATATTTAGATGCTCCAGTATTTAGTCCATAAATATTTACAATTGTTATATCCTTGATGAACTGGCCCCTTATCTTTATATAATAACCTTCTTTGTCTCATAGTTTTTGGATTATAGTCTATTTTGTCTCATATGAGTATAGTGACCCCAGCCTCATTTTGGGTTCCATTTGCATGGAACATCTTTTTTCATCCTTCACCTTCCATCCACGTGTCTCCTTAAAGCTGAAGTGAATCTCTTGTAGACAGCATATAGTTGGGTCTTGTTTTTTATCCATTCAGCTACTCTGTATTTTGATTATAGAATTTAGTTCCTTTACATTTAAAGTACTAGTGGAAGGTGTGGACTTACTACTGCCATTTTGTTGTCTCCTGGCTGTTTTATAGTTTATTTATTCCTTTCTTCATCTCTTGCTCTCTTTCTTTGAGATTTGATGATTTTCTATGGGGTTATGCTCTGATTCCCTTCTCTTTATCTTTTGTGTGTCTAATATAGGTTGGTTTGTAGTTATCACAAGGTTTACTTTAAAAAATTTATATTTACAACAATCTATTTTAAACTGAAATCAACTTAACTTCCAATGTGTATGAAAGTTCTACATTTTTATACTTCTTCCCAGACCTCCATGGGAGGAAGGAAATTCAGGGGCCTCCTATGTAATTATCTTGGTCTGGAGTTAAGATATATGCTACCATTTTTTTTTTAATTTTTTTTTAACGTTTTATTTATTTTTGAGACAGAGAGAGACACAGCATGAACGGGGGAGGGGCAGAGAGAGAGGGAGACACAGAATCGGAAGCAGGCTCCAGGCTCTGAGCCATCAGCCCAGAGCCCGACGCGGGGCTCGAACTCGCGGACCGCGAGATCGTGACCTGAGCTGAAGTCGGGCGCTTAACCGACTGAGCCACCCAGGTGCCCCTATGCTACCATTTTTTATGGACCCACAAACATATGGCCAACTAGTCTTTGACAAAGCAGGAAAGAATATCCAATGGAATAAAGACAGTCTCTTCAGCAAGTGGTGCTGGGAAAACTGGACAGCAACATGCAGAAGAATGAACCTGGACCACTTTCTTACACCATACACAAAAATAAACTCAAAGTGGATTAAAGACCTCAATGTAAGACAGGAAGCCATCAAAATCCTCGAGGAGAAAGCAGGCAAAAACTTCTTTGATCTTGCCTGCAGCAACTTCTTACTCAACACATCTCCAAAGGCAAGGGAAACAAAAGCAAAAATGAACTACTGGGACCTCATCAAAATAAAAAGCTTCTGCACAGTGAAGGAAACAATCAGCAAAACTAAAAGGCAACCGACAGAATGGGAGAAGATATTTGCAAATGACATATTAGATAAAGGGTTAGTATCCAAAATCTATAAGGAACTTATCAAACTCAACACCCAAAAAACAAATAATCTGGTGAAGTAATGGGCAAAAGACATGAAGAGACACTTCTCCAAAGAAGACATCCAGATGGCCAACTGACACATGAAAAAATGCTCCACATCACTCATCATCAGGGAAATACAAATCAAAACCTCAGTGAGATACCACCTGACGCCTGTCAGAACGGCTAACATTAACAACTCAGGCAACAATAGATCTTGGCAAGGACGTGGAGAGAGAGGATCTCTTTTGCATTGTTGGTGGGAATGCAAGCTGGTGCAGCCACTCTGGAAAACAGTATGGAGGTTCCTCAAAAAACTAAACATAGAACTACCCTACAACCCAGCAATTGCACTACTAGGCATTTATCCACGGGATACACGTGTGCTCTTTCAAAGGGACACATGCACCCCTGTGTTTATAGC